AAGATAGGCGCGGGGTTTGCTGAGGGCAGGTTCTCGGACGTTTCCATCACTTTTCGGTTTGCGGCCCCAGGGGGCTCAGCGTGTACCAGGAGATCTGGCGTCGTCTTCTCGCGTGGTCTACGCAACGGCCCCCCCGAGAGGCCGCAACGCGACCTGGAGGGCCGCAGGCGGGGTGGTGTCGTTTCTTTCTTGGTCGATCCCAGCATCGTTGCTAGGATTGGCGCGGGGTTTGCAAAAGGGGTAGGTTCTCGGGCGTTCCCGTCGGTTGGGACCTTTTCGTGTGCTCTTGGAGTTTTTTTCGCCTCGGGGTACTCTCCAGCAGTTGCGCCTCGTGACTCGGGGGGTGCCTGGATCGTCCCGAACGGCCGCCGGAGACCCGAGTTTATGGCCCAGAGGCCACTGGGATAGGCGCGAGGTTTGCTGAGGGGATGCAGTCAACCCGTATAGTAGCTAATTTTCAAAGGTTGCCGTTGCATCCTTGCCCCTTAGGCCCATCCCCGGCAACTTTCGCTGGCCAGCCCCACTCGAAAAACGTCAACATGGCTTCCAAGGCCCGTGCATCCTTGCCGCGCTTCCTTACTGTACGGGTTGACTGTAGGGGGGTTGTCGGGGAATGCTAAGGTGAGTTATGTCAATCTCAGCTGGTTTGGAAGTGGGTTCTAAGTGCCCGAAGTGGCTTCGGGGGGGGGTGATCACTCCGCCAGGTTGGCGGAGCCCACTTGGCCCTGATCGTGAGCCCCCTGAGACCACTCGGGGCACTTGTAGCCCTCTGATCGCTAGGTGAGGCCAGATAGAACCCAGCCTAGCATCCGCTGATAAACCCCCTATCCTTTTAGCCCCCCCCCCCGCGCCCATCCAAGCAAAGCTTCGACGATCTTTGTTTTTTTGTTTTTTTCTGTCCTGGCGTTTTTCCTAGTTTTCGGCCTTCTGGGGCCCGTTGTCGGGCCCCAGGGCCCTTCAAAGTAGACCCGGGGCGAGATTCTACCCCTGGGGGAGCAGTCGGGGCTTCTTGGGATCGCAGATTCACAGATCATATCGACGGAGATCAAGAGATCCCGCCCTGAGCCCCTTTTTGGTTTCTGTGGCTTTCTCTTGTTTTCGGAATTCTCCTGGGGTCCAGCTGACGGATACGGTCGACCGTAGTTCGAGTCTGGCGACTCTAGTGCGACTCTAGCTCGATTCAAGATCGGCTCAATTTCGACTCTAGCCGATGGACGTTCGACGCGGTGGCTCCAAGAAGGCCGCCAGAACGAGAATCTGCCAGTTTTGCAAGGAGAGGGACCGAGTTGGGCACGGCAGTGCGAGCTAGCAGACAGAAGCCATCCCCTGGACCGAAGCACGATCAGGCGACATCGAGGCACCACTCCCACCATCCATGACACCTGATTCCGTTCATGCTCATGCCACGGAGTGTGAGATCCTCGACGACGACGACAGGCCCGAAGACAGGCCCGATCTCCGACAGAGGACGCGGCTCTGCTGGGTGACAGCCCCCTCTCCAGCGCGTGCTCGCATCATGCGATGTGCATCAGCCAGGTGCGATGGGCATCAGCAGCCTGTGATGGGCGTTGCGGCTCGTGGAGCCTGCTGGCTGCGAGCTTGTCCTCGTTCGGGAACGGCTTTGCGCCGCGGGGCGGCAGAGGCAGCCCGCACGCGCGCTCGAGCGGGCCCGGGGGGAGGGGGGCAGGCGTTACGTGTCCGGCGGTAAGAGGGGAGGAGGAGGGGAACAGGCGGGCGCCCGCGGGAAGGAAGGGGAGGGGAAGGGTAGGGCACTCACAGGGCGAGGTGCATCGCCTTGAAGCAGCAGGGCTGGCCAGCCAGAACTCCATTACTCTGGCCGTGGGCGCAGGGCGATATCGCGGCCACACCCAGAGGTATAAGTGCAGGACATGACGCCCTCCCAAGCGCGTGCCCCAGACTCCCGACGTCATGATCCTGCGAAGGCCTTACGGCCGTTGCCGCCGACCCTGAGAGCGACGAAGATGAAAACGAGGGGGTGCAGGGTGCAGGAGGTGGATGAGAAAGGAGGAGGGGGGAGAAGGATGTGGAGGAGAAGCATGAGCTGCAGAAGGAGGCAGAGGAGAGCAGGAGGAGGGGGAGAAGAGGGGGGAGGAGGAGAAGGAGAGGAGGAGGAGAGGAGGAGGAGGAGGAGGAGGAGGAGGAGGAGGAGGAGGAGGAGGAGGAGGAGGAGGAGGAGGAGGAGGAGGAGGAGAGGAGGAGAGGAGGAGAGGGGGGGGGGAGGAAGAGGAGGAGGAGGAGGAGGAGGAGGAGGAGGAGGAGGCAGAGGAGGAGGAGGAGGAGGAGGAGGAGGAGGAGGAAGAGGAGGAGGCCAGAGGCTTTATTGGGACAGCCTGTGGCTCTCCTGAGGCCGTCTTGGGTCGTCCAGGGCTCCTCTTGCGCCGTCTCGAGGCACTCTTGGAGGCCTGATGGGCAATTTGGGGCTCTCCTGGGCTGTCTTGGGGCAGTTTTGGGGTCCCTTGGGAGCCTCTTGGGGCCTCTTGGGGCTTCTTCGGGGCCTCTTGGGGGCCTCTTGGGGCTGAGGGCTCGAAATGTCCGTTGGGGTCCCCCGTCTGGGCCCTCTCCTGGAGCCGTCTTGGGGGCTTCTTGGGCCGTCTTGGAGGCGTCTTGGACCGTCTTGGGGCCCTCTTCGGCCGTTAGGGGGCCCTCTTGGGGGCCTTTTGGGCCGTCTCGGGGCGATCTTGGGGGCCTCTTGGGCCGTCTTGGCGCGTCGAGAAACGGAAGAGGCAAGAACGCCAAAATCTTTCAACAACGTATGGGAAATCCATGCAATTTGCCTCTTGGGGCTCTCGTGAGAAAGCTCCTGGAGGCCTCTCAGGGGCGCTTTGCAGGCCTCTTGGGCCGTCTGGAGGCCGTCAAGGCGTCTTGGACCGATCGTTCGGCGATTCGGGGTTCTCTTGGGCTGTCTTTAGGGCCTCTTGGGGCACTCTTGTCCCGTCTTGGGGCTCTTTTGGGGCTCTGGGACTCCCAGGGGGGGCGTCGTATCTGACTCCCCCCCCGGGGCGTCTGACCCCCCCGCCCCCCCCCCGGGACCTCCCCCCCACCCCCCATCCCCCCCGGCGGGGGAGGGATCGAAGGGAAGGGGCTGCCCTTCGACTCAATTACGACGTTGCTTACTTTCGCTTTGGCTGGCGCGCTGAGGAGGTCCCTGGGAAAGGGGGGAGCTTCAATGAGCCCAGGGAAAGGGGGGAGGCAGGGAAAGGGGACGACAGAGACGACGACCAACGAATGACTGAGATGACGACTTGAACGGACAAGCCCCTCACACACGCCGACCCCCAGACCCCCGACGTCATGATTTGTTCATAACGTCGACACCCAGAGGTTTGGACCCATTCCCCAGCACCGGTTTCTCCTCCTGAGCCGCTTTTGGACGGTCCCGAGGCCTGCGGAGGGCCCACAGAGGCCGAAAATGGTGAAAACCCTCCCGCCGTGATTTTCTTTCATGACCCGAGGGGGTCTCGGTCCCGAGCGCGTGCCCTAGCCCAGGGGGCGGAGCCCTCCCAAGGCAGGACCGCCTACGATCCGATTCGACGCGATTCGATTCGCCGGCTAGGGCACCGATCCCAGTTCGATGCGATCCGGCTCCATTCACTGGCATCGGCCAGGGCCAGCCGGAAGCGGGCGCGGCGATTCGATGCCGATCCGATTCGGGACGATTCGCTTGCGATTCGATCCGCTCTCGACCCGATCCGACTTCGCGATCCGATCCCGCGCAGACCTGCGAGGTGCCCGCGGGAGGCGGGCCGCGCCCGATGCCGCGCCGACCCCCAGGCGTGGGCGGAGGGCGGCACCGTGCGGGGGGCCCCGCGCATGGCCACGCCGATCACGCCCGTGGCCAGTGTCGGGGCCCGCTCCGCCGGCCCCGCCTGCGGGCAAGATATGTATTCATATCTGACGAACCAGCAGCACACACCCATACCCATAGGGGGATCGGAAAGGGCTATGGATGCGTGTTGCCGGAGTGTGGTCCCCGCTCGAACAGGAGCGTTCCCCAGGGTCCGACGACCCGCACCCATACCCACAGCCAGTCTTCCTCCCAACGACCCCCCCCTATGGGTATGGGTGTGTGCTGATCGTTCGTCAATATCGACTGCGTCTTGGACTTTCTGGAAAGGGGCGCCAAATGGCCGAGGCGCAGTGGATGTGGATGAAGATATAGCCTCTACAGGGGCCTGATTTTTTTCAATATCCACTGCGCCTCGGATGTCTTGGGAAAGTGGCCCAAACCTCCAGGATGCAGTGGATATGGATACAAATCTTGCCCGCCCCGCCGTCAAGGGAGGGGGCGAGGAGTCACGAGGAGGCGGGCGGTCGGGACCTTTTGGATCGCGTGTCGCTCCGCCCGCTTGAGGTTCGAGGTTCGGGGCTCTGGGGTGTTCTCGTCGGTTCTCGGCGGCTCTCCAGCCTCGGGATGCTCTCTATCAGCTGCGCCGCGTCGAGAGCGTTCTGGGGGTGCCAGGATCGTCTCGGACGGCCGCCCGAGAGCCGAGTTAGGGCCCGGAAACACTGAGGGGGTTGCAGTTTCAGACGAGGAAAAGGTACCCTTAAGTGGGGCCTGTCCTTCTACAGGAGGAATATTAAAAAGTGGTAAAAAATAGTCAGGGGACGATGTTTTGACTATAACATTTTTAGGGTATTTTTTGTATCTTTAATCTTGTCGCCCCAAATCCCCCTGTTGGGGGACAGGCCCGACCTAAAGGTACCCGTGTCGCTACCCTTCCCTTGTTTCTGCGTTTTCGGTGCCTCTCCTGAGGCCCTCGTCGCCACCTCTGGATGCGCCTCGGAATTCTGGTCAGGACGCACCCCGGGAGAGGTCCGGGGAGTATCGGCATCGGTACCGATTGGTTTCCCCAGGGGAGGCAATGCTGGCAGGGTGAGGAGGCGGAGGCGGGCAGGAGGAGACACGGGGAGGAGGGTGTGGAGGGGGGCGGGCAGGCAGTGTGGGGAGGCAATGGGGAGGCAGGTGGTGGTGGTGGTGATGACGCTGCTGATGATAATGACGGTGACGATGATGACGATGATGACGTTGATGACGATGATGGCGATGCTGCTGCCGATGGGGACGACCATGATGATAATGATGACGATGACGATTCTGATGATGATGATGGTGATGATGATGGTGGTGGTGATGATGATGGTGATGACGATGATGATGATGATTATGATGATCATGATGATCATGATGATTCCGACGACGATGACGCTGATGATGAGGATGGTGAGGATGATGATAGTCATAATGATGATGGTGATGGTGATGATACCAGTACTGATACTGATGATGGTGATACTTATACTGAGGATGATGATGACGATCAGGGTAAAGATGATGCTGATGATGATGATGCTGATAATGAGGATGATTATGATGATACTGATGATGATGCTGCTGACGATGACGCTGCTGCTGACGGTGTTGCTGCTGATGGAGATGGTAATCATGGGGATGGTTAGATTGCTGCTGCTGATGATGCTGATGATGCTGAGGGCTTCATTGATGATGGTACAGCTACTGACGATGCTGCTGCCGCTCATGCTACAGTTGATAATGAGGATTGTGATGCTCAGGATGCAGGTGATGCAAATAATCATAAGGATGACGTTGACGATGCTGATGAAGACAATGATGGTGATGGTGATGGTTATGATGATGCTGATGATGATGGTGATGATGATGCTGATGATGATGGTGATTAGTATTCTTATGTTCTGATGATGCCGATGATGATGACGATGCTGACGAGGATGCTGATGATGATGAAGCTGCGATGGTGATGAGGACGATGATGCTGCTGATGCTGATAATGACAATGACGACGATGATGATGATGCTGATTGTGATTTTGATGATGATGCTTATGATGACCATGCGACGGACGATGCTGATGTGGACGATGTTGACGAAGGTGCTGATGGCCATGTCTATGATGTTGATAATGATGCTGCTGCTGATGATGAGGATGATGATGCTGATTATGATCGTAGTACTGGTGCCGATGGAGGTTGTGGTGACGATGATGATGACGATGCCGATGACGATGGCGATGCTCTGCTGCTGCTGATGATGACGATGCTGATGATGATTATGATGATGATGGTGCTGATGATGGGGAGGATTATGCTGATACCGATGCTGATGCTGATGCCGCTGCTGCTGCTGCCGATGATGAAGATGATGAGGGTAAAGATGATGGTGATGGTGATGGTGCTGTTGCTGATGATGCTGATGATGCTGATGATGACGATGCTGGTGATGGTGATGATGACGATGCTGATGATGCTGATGCTGATGCTGGTGATGATCATGCGTATTCTGATGCGGATGAGGATGAAGATGAGGATTATGGCGATTATGCTGACGATGTCGATGATGATGTTGGTGGTGGGGATGATGCTGGTGATGTTGGTGATGGTGATCGTGATGATGATGAGGGGAGGGTGAGTTGGACGAGAATGAGGCTGAGAAGGGAGGACGAGCAGAGAGAGGATGTGAAGGAAGAGGAGGAGGAGGATGGGAACAGGCGGAGATGTGGAAGACGAGGTCAACCACGAGGGTTTGCAAGGCCCTCCGAGTGTGAGTCGGCCTGGTGGCCTTTGCGGCGTGCCTTCGTCTCGGGCTCGTACGTCGAGGTCGACTTGGGGCATTATCCAGTGTTGCCATGTCTCCCCTGGTGCTCGACGACTCTTCTGCAAGCGACTTGTGGAGGTCAGGTTAGATGAACCAAGGTGAGCCTGCCCACGTCGATGTGAATCCAGATGCGTCGAGGTATCTCTGGAGATATTGGTTGACAGCTGGAACAGATAGTGTAACCACCTGCGTGAGTCGAGGGGTAGCCGACATCGTAAAGCACTTAAGGATTTGGTGCATCACATAATCATGCTGCCCATGCGCTGTCCGTGGCATCTTGGAGGATGCAGACCAGCATCCGCCACAGACCAGAGTGCTCAACGGAGCGCGAGAGGTTGCCGTGCAGATGCGCCGATGGGTGAAACCCAGAGGGAGGGAGAGAGGAATGTGTGTGTGTAGAGAGAGAGAGAGAGAGAGAGAGAGATCGAGAGAGAGAGATAGATAGAGAGAGAGAGAGAGAGAGCGAGAAAGAGAGAGAGAGAGAGATAGAACGAGAGAAAGAGGGAGAGAGAGAGAGAGAGTGAGAGGGAGAGAGGGAGTGAGAGAGAGAGAAAGAGAGAGAGAGAGATAGACTATCTATATATGTGTATATATGTGAGGCGCTGCAGATGGGGCCTCGCCTTCGAGGGCCGAAGGAGATGGCATCTTTTCCTCGGCGGGCCGCTCGTCCGTCGGAGGCTCGGCGGAAGCGGGGCGGAATCTCGGCGGAAGGGAAGGATGCGGCCCCGAGGGATGGCAACCAACCTGTGCGTACGCACATCTATATATATATATATATATATATATATTTATAGTTATATTTATATTTATAGTTATATTTATATTTATATGTATGTATGTATGTATGTATGTATGCATGTGTATGTATACATATATATATGCACAGGGAGAGTGAGAGAGAGGGACAGGGACAGGGACACTTGTTTATATGTTCATACACATATATACATATACATAAACACATATATACATGTATGTATACACTAGGTATAACTATATCTATGTGTATAGCGAGAGAGAAAGAGAGAGAGAGAGAGAGATTGAGAGAAAAGGAGGGGAGTAATGCCAAGTAAAGTATTCAAATGAGAATGCACGTATCGGCAGAGAGAGAGAGAGATAGTCTAGCGGTGCAGCGACACAGCCGTGATGGCCATGTGGCGCTGACCACAGATACGCAGCGAAAGCTAGCAGACTCGCCAGCAGCACAAAGATAATAGCGTTGCACGAGGGAAATCACACCAGTGTCGTCTTCCCTCCTGCTGCCAGCCTTCTTTGTGCCTTCCTGCCCCTCTCCTCTGGTACTCCCGCCCCGGGAGACCGTCCGACGTGCCCAATCGGGTGAAGCACGTGGGTGTGCGGGCACTCCTTCGTAGCTGACGCCGTTCTTGCCTGACCCAGGGCGACACCATCGATCCATCGATTTCTCCAGCATGGTCCTGATCAGCGCTCGGGTAACACTTTGGGAACTAGCGAGCTGCTCAACGCCCCACTGTCGAGCCAAGCCCTCGCCCGTGCAGGAGCCACGTCTGCGAGACGTCGGTGTCCTCTGGGCCCTCCCTCCGTTCTTGTTTTTTTGCTCTTGCTCTGGCTCTCGGCCCTTTCTATTTCGGCAAGCCTCCTCGGAAGGCGGCGGTGCTTCAGGAATCGTTTCAGAGGGCTGGAGGCCTTGAACGCCTTCCGAGAAGGCCCGCCCCCTCTGCCTTCCCCTTGGGTCCGTCGCCAACTCTTGCTTCTCTCTCTCCTCCTCCTCCTCCTCCTCCTCCTCCTCCTCCTCCTCCTCCTCCTCCTCCTCCTCCTCCTCCTCCTCCTCCTCCTCCTCCCCCTCGTCCTCCTCCTCCGCCTTCCCTCTTCGTCCGAGACGAAGAAGCTGCTGAGCATCGTGCCCGCCGCCGCTGGCTCACCACCAAAGAACTACGTGATGAAGACCGCTGGCTTCCTGAAGACACCGCCCAGGGCGGCAACAGCAACCATAACATCGACATGCTGGACATCGACGACTGGCCTCCTTCGCTCGCTGCTGGCTGGTCCATGCTTCGGCGTCATCTCGCACGAGCCCCTGCGTCACATTCCTGGCCCGTCCTCAAGACGGTGGCGGGTGCCAGGACTACGAGCCACCGCGTGCACGTCAACCAGTTCAAGCACATTTGTCTCTTCGGATGCCCGACCATTCAGAGCAAGAAGCACATTGATGACATCGCGCGCTACATCACGTGCCCGAGGATGTGGAGCCATCTTTGCCTCCCGCGCGGACAAGTCTCGCCGAACGTCATCACGCGCCTGGGCCTTAGTGGAGAGCAGATCGATGACACCGCCATCCCGCACGCCATCGCTCGCCTGGCCGTGGCATTGAAGTCCTACAACTTCCTGCGCGTCCAGAGCGCCGTGAACACCGGCTCGGCCTCCATCAACGAGGCCAGGGCGCCCGTTATCCCTTCCTACGACACGTACGACAAGAACAAGGCGGCCATCGCCGCCTCGCGACGCGCCGTGAGGCTTCCCCCCTGCCTCGCGGGCGGCACGGGGCCGCGCAGGCCATGACGAGATAGACGTCTGCAAGTGGACGTTCGCTCCTCCTCCTCCTCCTCCTCCTCCTCCTCCCTCTTCCTCCTCCCTCTTCTTCTTCTTCTTCTTCTTCTTCCTTCTCCTCCTCCTCCTCCTCCTCCTCCTCCTCCTCCTCCTCCTCCTCCTCTCTTCCCCTCCCCCCTGCAGTGCCGTCCTCGCTGCTGCTGCTGCTGGCACGGGGGTCCCCGTGCCCGCCGTGCGAGGCCCGGGCGGAGATGACCCCGATCACGCCGGCGGAGCGCAGGACGCCACGGGGTGGGGGGGCCAGCAGGCAGTGCGCTTCGGGGCGGTGGTGGTGGTGGTGGTGGTGGTGGTGGGTCCTCGCGGAGGTGGGGAGGGGCAGTGGTCAGAGGAGGAAATGGTACCCATACCGCTACCCTTCGCCCGTTTTTCTTTCTGTGGGCCTCCTGGGAGGCCCTCGTCGCCACCGCTGGATTCGCCTCGAAATCCAGGTCAGGACTTACCCCGGGAGAGGTCCCAGCAGTAGCGGAGTTGGTACTTGTTGGTATCCCCAGCAATGGTCGGAAGACTGCGTCGAGAGGAGGGGAGTGGGAATGGCAGGAGGGGCCAGAGAGGGCGTGTGAAGGGCGCCAGCGCGTACGCGCAGACGCGAAGGCAAGCCAGTTGTGGGCTGGACGCGTAAATGAGACGTCGGGTAATGAGTGAGACACAGCCAAGACCCATTGGGCTGTTCGAAGGCCAAGATTGATGCAGACAGGCGGAGCCTTAGAATGTTTGCCGTTCTTCTCGTAGGCATCAACGACATTCGGGAAAACTGCCCCGACACCTGGGCAGGAGCAGACTGCTCACCGAGTTGACAAACGAGCTTTCAATTTTAAAAATGGACGCTCCCCGTCTGTGTAGCCGTCATCCATCTTCGTACCTGCTGTAAGCACGGATGTGCGCGGCGCTACGGCGAAAACTTCATTCTGAAAGCGAGCCGTCCTCCGTCGTCACAACGGTTGCAAGCTCTTATAAGGCATACTCGTGGCCCTACGGCGAGAACCCCACGTTGGAAAGGAGCTGCCCTCCATCCGTAGAGCTGTTACACGCTTTTAGGGCAAATCTGCCCGCGGCGCTTGGGCGAGAGCCACATGTTGAAAACGCCCCACTCCATCCGTGCGATGTTGCAAGCTTTCAGGGCAGACGTGCCTCTTGGCCGGCTCTGTGGTCTTTCTGGAGGCATCTATGGAGTCTCTTGAGGGCTTCCTTGGGCCTGGGGGTCTGACCATGTGGCGCCTTTGCGCAATTATTTTGGGGACGACGCAGATTGCATTCCTAGCGATGACGGCCTTTCTGCCAGCTCAAAGGTCCACAGAGTGTCCAGCAAAGACGGGCAGCCCACCTCGGACAGTCCATCTACTTTCCTCCCCCTGCCCTTCTTCCTCTCCCTTTCTATCCTGCCGCCCCTTCTCCTCCTCCTCCCCCTCCTCCCCCTCCTCCTCTTTCTCCTCCTCCTTCTCCCTCCTCCTCCTCCTCCTCCTCCTCTTCCGTCTCCTCATCCGCCTCCTCCTTCCCCCTTCTTCTCCTCCTCCTCCTCCTTCTCCTTCTCCTCTCTCCCTCTTCCTCTTCCTCCTCGCCCCCTCCTCCTCCTCCTCCTCCTCCTCCTCCTCCTCCTCCTCTTTTTTTTGCGTTCGACAAACCCGAGCGTGACGCTGTGGCGTTAGTGGTGGCTGACGAAACAAGCGACTCGGGTCAAGGAAAGGGCACCTGGCGGGCGCCGCGGAAATTGAAACAGTGCGAGCGTCGGACAATAATATTAGTGAGAGTAGGGGCCCGCCAGGTGTGACGACACTCACTTTAGCTGGATAGCAGCGGCAGTAATAGCAGTACGTAAAAGAACGATTCACATTAAGACTGATGGTGAGTGTCGTCGTGACTGAGCAAGTCCAGTATGCTTAGACTGGCCTGGGAGGCTCGCCTGTCTCAGAAGCAGTAATTGTGGCACGGGAAATGTGGCGCAGTAAAAACGCAGCTGCGCCGAATCTTGGCCTAACGCTGCAGGCTCGTATACTCCTCCACCACGCCACCATCCGACAACATAATCTCCGACCCCCATCCCTTTTACATAATGGGCGCCATCTTGGCAGACTACGGTGAGCAGAAAACGTGTGCGTCGCGTGAGCTGCCATGACAGCGTCGGAAGAGTGAGAGTATAGTATGGCAGTTCTAGGGTTTCCGCCCAGGGTTTTGGGGTTTACCCCGAACCACCTCGGTACTGAGACCCTCGTGCTTTTCGTATGGGTCTTCTCGGGGTTAGCACGAACCCTTATTGTTCAGCATGTGTATTCGTGTGATAACGTATCACAAACTGGCCTTTTTAGGCTGTCCTTTTGGGTATAACATAGAGCCCGATCTGTGGTGAGGTACTGCTGCCAGAACACTGTGAGGTGTAATCTCTGCGCGGGCTGTGCTGCCAGTACTCGGACGTGGGCAGATGGCGCACGTAGAGTCTGGGGCATAAACACGTGAGAGTGTGTGTGCTGTCTGTGTCCTGGCAACAAGGCGGTCTGAAATGCAAGGTCGGGCATCTGATATGTCATGCTGTGCTGCAGAACGTGTCGCTATGGCGACAAGGTAGGGTGTACACTTGGCGTTTTTAAATCCCGCCTCCTCCTCCTCAGCTTAGGCTGGCCTGTAGGTGGAGGCTCGCCTGGTGCGGCAAACTGGAATGATGGGTAGGAGTGCGGTGAATAACTTTTGACTATAGTAAAGCCGACCTGAAATACAACGCCGTGCAAATGGCGCCTTTAAAGTGTACCTCCCACATCCCCGCGAACCTCCAGCCCCACCTCACAAGCGTAAATATCGGTACAATTTCTGTGCTGTCAGTATTCGTGCGTGGGCAGCTTGCTCACGTAGAAACTGACAGAGAACCTAGGTGTGTGCTGTCTGAGACCTGGCAACGAGGAGGTAGTCGTGTTTAAAAAAGGTGGTGTCCGTAGACTGCCAACATGTGCTCTAACTACTGTCTGATGTTGTCCGCCCTTGCTGGGCGAAGCGTAGATCGGCAGGGCAATTATTGATACAGGGTTTTGTAGGGCCACCCCGAACCTTAGCTGGAGAGAGTTGCCACCAGAGTGTCGGGAACGGGGGCGCAAGGCGGGAGGAATCCAGTGCAACAGTGAAGGGAGGAAAGAGACGCGTGGCATGAAAAAAGGGGGTGCGTCTCTGAGTACCCGGGTGCCCCTAAGCTGTGGAAGTTGGAGGGTGCACCTGAGGTGTCCCTCAAAGTCGGCAGTGTACGTTCCCCCATAACCGCATAAGTCGTGGTAAGACATCTGCTTGTGGGGTCTACACTTGTGGGGGCCCAATTGTGAAAGATTATCCCAGTGCGACCCTACCTAGGAGTTGGAGCATTTAGGAAAGCAACATCTACAGCTACACCGACAGCTACATTTACATCTACACCTGCATCTACATCTACATCATCATCAACAGCGAGACTCACATCTACATATACACCTACATCTACACCTACATCTACATCTACATCTACATCTACATCTACATCTACATCTACATCTACACCTACACCTACATCTACATCTACATCTACATCTACATCTACATCTACATCTACATCTACATCTACATCTACATCTGCATCTACATCTACATCTACATCTACATCTACATCTACATCTCTACATCTCTACATCTCTACATCTCTACATCTCTACATCTCTACATCTCTACATCTCTACATCTCTACATCTCTACATCTCTACATCTCTACATCTCTACATCTCTACATCTCTACATCTCTACATCTGCATCTACATCTACATCTACATCTACATCTACATCTGCACCTACACCTACATCCACACCTACACCGACACCTACACCTACATCTGCATCTACATCTACACTTTCGCATTGGTTTTGCTTTTGCTTTGCATTGCCTTTGCGTTTGCTCTTGCCTTTGCTTTTGCCTTTGCCTGTGCTTTTGCTTTTGCTGTTGCTTTTGCTTTGCTTTTGTTCTTGATGTTGCTTGATTTTGTTTTTGCTTTGCCTGCGCACAGACACACACACATGCATGTTTTCGCATTCGCTCACTGCTGCGCTATGCTATGCTATGCTATGCTATGCTATGCTATGCTATGCTATGCTGGGCTATGCTATGCTATGCTATGCTGGGCCATGCCATGATATGCTAAGCTAAGCTAAAATAAGCTAAGCTACAGCTACGCGAAGCTAAGATGAAGCTAAGCTAAGCTAAGCTAAGCTAAGCTAAGCTAAGCTAAGCTAAGCTGAGATACGCAAAGCTAAGGTAAGGGGGCGCAGCTGGGGGAACCGCGGGGCGGGGACCGGGGGAACCGCCTGGGGCGAAGCCCACTGCCCGGCCCCTTTAAGCCCAGCGAGTGAGAACCCTCTAGGCAGAGCCTAGGTAGGGAAAAAAGAGTGCAATCTTTGGGCTGCGACCCAAGTTTTAGAGGGTGACCCCAAACCTGCGTAGAGAGAGGTGCCACCAACGCATCGAGCACGCCTGAAACGGACACAATAAGGGCGAAGGGAGGGTGCATCGAGCATCAGTCGAGGGACCCTTGTAGGAGACATTACGGTGTACATATCGGCACCTGCAACTTTGACAGGTTCAGATGCAGGTCTTCTGCGGTAATTGCCAATGGAGAAATACTGGCCGTGAATGTCGTGGTATCCTCTGCAGTTGATGACAAGGCGCTGGATGCGGTTGCCGCGGTAGTCGCCATCTTACGTGATGAACTGATCATTGCCTGTGAGCGTAGGCATGGGGTTGGGCACGGCCCTGCGCAGAGTAACCAATTGTTTCGGCGGAGGCTCTCTGAATGGTGCTTCAAGCGTGTACTCGCGCAGGCTGTAGACGTAGAGCTGGTAGCGCGCCTGGTGAGTACGAAGCCTGTTGATGTAGTCCTGGGAAGTGTGGCCGCGTCGGTTGAAGATGCGTCGCTTGAAGATGCGGGTCTGCAGCTCTCCCCGTCTCGCTGCTTCGTTGTGTTGGGCGATTGCTTGTGCCGTAAGTGTTGGGAAGTATGGGTGCCACGTTGCGAGTGTTTGTGGGCCAGGTGCCGCAGGGATAACTCTTGGATCCACTGTTGCGCTCTGATGTCTTCGTCTGGTGGGCAAATGATTTGGCATTTGTAGTAAGGGCGGCGGATGTTGTGCTGGTGTGACTTGTTGAAGTGGTGACCATTTGATCATAGAGGTGGCTTTGAGTGTGGACGAGGTTGGCTTTATTGGTGTGGTACTGCTGCCCTTGGGCGTTGCTGGTTGTTGTTGTTGCGTTGGCACGTTGGCCTGGCTTAACAGGTCTGCTGGTGGAGGCGTGTATGGCCGCTTGTTAGTGCCAGTCGTAGTGATCGTCGTGACGGTCTTGCCCAGTCGGAGTTTGGGCATGATATTGTTTGGAATGGTATCGTGCTGCTTGGTGCGGGTGTGCTTGGTATTCTGGTTGTTTGCGTGTGATGGAGTTGTATCCCTCCTCCTCCTCCTCCTCCTCCTCCTCCTCCTCCTCCTCCCTCCCCGGCAAACCTCTTCCACCCTCCCCCTGCCGGCTGCACCCCCCTCTGTTGCAGCAGGCCGCTTGCCATCACAGCCTCAGCAGGTACTGGGCGTGGAGCTCAAACATCCACCTTCTCCCTCCTTCTGCTCGCCCTTTCCTTCCCTCTCCAGTTCCGTTTCTGCCTCCGCCCTCGCCTCAAAGCCTCTCCTCCCCGAGTGCCTCCTTCGGGTCGGACGAAAGGGGGGCATGCGAAATCGTCTGCGTGCAGCTGGTTTCGGCCCTGTCGCCAGCCTGAGCTGAC